TGCGGGGCTCTGCCGGCTTTCCCTCCCGCACAGGACTGGGAAGATGCTCCGCAGGGAAAAGCAGGAGGATGGAGAAGCAAAGCGCAGCCCGGGGCTGGTTCTGCCCGGCTTTGGCTCCTGACCCCGAGCTGTTCCCCCTGCAATCCCCGCTCCTCCGCCTGCGCTCCCGGGCACTCGGCACCCCCGCCGCTCTATTCTTAGCAGCTAATAGCTGAAAGAATTGCTTTTGTTGGCTCCTGGGATCGGGAGCCGAGGGAAAGCTGCCCCCGCAGCCGCTGCCAGCGCTGGGGGTCCCGGGGATGAGGGGTCCCTGTGCCAGCCGGGAATTCTGCTCCGGGTCGGGCATCCCGAACAGCGCAGCCCGACCCCAGCACGGCCCGGCCGCCGAGGCTCTGCAGCAGCTGCGATGTTCCTGCTCCTTTTGGAACAGGATCGCGGCTCTCCCGGCTGCGTTTCTGAGACTGCACAGGAAGAATTGCAGGTTTTCACCTGCGGGCTCCCAGATGGTGCCTGCTCTGTGCCGCTCGCACCGAGAACGCCAATGGGACTCCCCGGTGCCAGCACAGCCAACACATCCCCGGCAGCTCCCGGCGGGGATCCCGCACCTCTGGCACTGCCGGCTTTGGATCTCGGCACCAGCTGCTCCACACAATCCCCTGAACAATTCCCGAGGGGAACTCTGAGCCCCCCAGCCCGCTCTCCGTGGGACTGTCAGCCGTGCACACCCAAACAGCCGCACGGAATCGCCTTTACAACTGTTTGCCAAGGGGTTTATGGCTCTTCACCTGCCTGCTGCTCTTCCTCCTGCTGCTTGGGACCCCAGGGAGAGCAGCAGGGTGTTCCAGATGGAACAGGGTGCCCAGAGCAGCCCTGGATCCCTGGAAGTGTCCCAGGCCAGGCTGGATGGGGTTTGGAGCAGCCTGGGGCAGGGGAAGGTGTCCCTGCCATGGCAGGGGTGGCACTGGCTGAGCTCTAAGGTCCCTTCTAACCCAAACCATTCTGGCTTTCTGCTGGGCTGGTAAAGAAAGGACTCACTGGCCATTTCTCTGGAATTCACTAAAGAAGCTTCTCTGGAGAACAATAAACCTTCTGGAAAAAAACCCAAACCTGAATATTTGTTGTGACTGTCCCTCAGTGAGGCACGATCCTTTGTAAGGATGAGGTATCCCTACCCCACATCAGCACTCGCAAAACCGACTATTCTGCGTTTTAAAGCAGCTTTTAAGCCTCTGGGTCGGTAAAGTGAAGAAACTTTTCCATTGCCCTGTCCACCTTTGCCCGATTCTTTGCTCCTTCCGTTTGTGCCCAGCCTCTCCCGAGGGGATGTGCCAAGCCTCCCCTCGCCAGGCTGCCGAGGTCGAGGGGTTACAGATTTACAGCTGCCCGGACTTGCTCCGGCCCGGGCAGGAATTCACTTGGCATAAACGAGGCCTTTGGATTATTTATCTCAGCCTTTCAGCTCAACAGGAACATGCCCTGATTTTAACAATCGTGCTTCCTGCGCTGGGGGAAGGTGTGGCCGATGGCATTTAAACCCAAAGCCGAGCCAAGGCTTCCCCGGCAGGACCACGAGGGCTTCCTTCAGCACTCAAGGGCCTCCCTCAGGTTATTTTATCACCCCCAGCAATAATGATGGGCACGAGGGTGAGATCTGGGGAGTGTCAGGCTCCATATGCTGTCGCTGTTCAGGGCATGGCAGCAGAAAATCGCACAGGAGACGCTGGAGAACAGAGGATGAACCTTTAGGCTTCCTCTGGAGGTCGAGGAATCGCTCCCTGACCCTTTCGTGGTGCTGAGGGAACTGCCAGTGACAGCCTGGAGGGTCAATCCCCTCCCTCCCTCCTCAAAAAATGGTATTTTCCCCATCATCCAGCCCAAAGCAGCTCAGTTGCAAGTCCTGAGATCTTGTTACAATGTTCAGCACTGTAAAAACTGTTTATTTTATTAATCAGCACAGTAAACACTCAGAGCCCAGCTGTGATCAGCCAGGGGGTCACATCCAGTTTGGGAAGAGATTCCTGCCCTGCCATTCCGACGGTGACACCCATCTCCCCTGTCTCAGACCACGGCCATGGATTATTCTCCATTATTCACCATTATTTCCCAAGCCTTCTTTCCAGCCCAGGACTTCACACCCTCATAGGTGGTTCTTACCAAACCACAGCTCTGTCTCCTACAATCAAATTCTGTGAGGAAAAGAAAAATAAAAAAAAACAACAAACTCAAACCAGTAGCAACACATGGAAATGGGCTCCAGCGAAACCAGAAATGCAGCCTAGATTTTTATATGGAAATATATGGAATATATGGAATGTCAAGGATGTTTGAACCAGAAAATGCCAAATCCTGGCAAAGAGTGTCAGAAAATGACTTTTATGTTTTTAGGCCTCTTCACTCAGGTCTGAGGGCTGAAGTTTTCCATTGCCCCAAGATTTCTTACACAGTTGATTGTTCCCCAGAGCAGCACAGCTCTGAGCTCTTGGGAGCCTGAGTGCCACCAGCAAGAACCTAGAGACAGGTAAAGATAGAAACATTCCAGGGCTGCTGATTTTCAAAGCAAAGCAAACCATCAAATAAACGCTGCATTTCCCCTGAAAGCAACCAGAAAGAGTCACTTGAAATAAATCAAAGTTGGTTTCACCTTCTTAACGCGCCGCAGGCCTGACAGAAGCGGTGTGAGCCGAAAGCATCGGTGAACTGCCCCATTTCTGAGGCTCCCAGCGTTTCATCTCGCTCTGGAGCTCCGTGGATCTCCAGGTGGCCTCTGCTGCCTGCACGGCGCGGCGCAAACCGCCGGGGAAAAGTGGGAAGGCGGAAAATCGGCTCCCGAGAGAACGGGGGGGACTGAAATCAGCACAGGCAGCTCCGTGTCTCAGCAAAAGCCGGCCTGCTTCGGGGGGATGACTCATTTCGGGAGCCTGAGCTCGCTCCCAGTCATTAAGGAAGGAGTTAATCCCTGCAGCTTTGGCCACAAAGTGGATGTGTAAGGCCTGGAGTCCCATGGGCTCGATTGCATAAGAAGCCATGTATTGTGGCATTTAGTTGATCATGCACTACTTCTTCTGGTCACATGGAGGCTTGATTTCCCCTTGCATCAGCTACTACAGACTTTTTACATTTCTGGTCCTGCTATTTGCTCAGTTCATCGGGGTCATCCCCTTCACCCCACAGCAGAGCCTGTGCTGCTCACCCCACCCTGACCCACGGCATCTCACCCCATTTTTTGTAGGATCCTGGAAGAGGAACTTGTAATTTCTCTCATTTGTGTCTGTGCGTAACAGGTGTCATTTTCAGTGTAGTACAGACAAATCCCAAAATAGCTCAGGCTCTTCAGACGCTGCGAGGAGAAAAAAAATTCGTGGTTACTTCAGCTTTGGTTGTAGTGAAAAACCCAACGCCGGCAGCCGGCTCTGGAGTCGGAATTAAAATGGCAGACGGAGGAGCGGAGCAGGGCTCTCTCTGCATTCCCCGTTCCCTGACGGACTGCTCCTCGCTGCTCCGTGTGTGCACATCAACTCCCTCACACTGCTGCCTCTCCAGCAGCTCCCCTGATTCCCAGGAGCTGCACCTACCACGGATCCTCCTCCACACTTCCCGGTGCCGGCAGAGCTCCGCTTCCCCTGCCGGGTGCCGGGGCCGGCCGGAGGCACCGGAGTTATTCCAGGGATTTGGGGGGCAGAGGCGAGGAGAGAGCGTGCAGCTGCAAAAGGCTGCCTGCCTGGGGATGATGCCTGCTGTGCTGAAATGCAGAGCTGCCTGTGGACTGTCTCTGTCGGGGATTATTGGATTCTGGGGACTCCAGGAGCGCGGTTATTAGTTCCCCTGCCCACGCCGAGCGTTTTGAATCCGTGTGTGTGATAACACTTATTAATGCTGCTCAGATTAGGAAGATCCTATGGCTTTCCAGCACTTTCAGCACCTTATCTCACACCACGCACCTGCCCAGCAGCTGAACCACGCTCAGATCAGTGTCCTGTGGCCAGCAGAGCAGGGGCCAGCAGTAGCCCCGTGGCCACAAGTCCTGCATTTGTTCACAGCAGCAGCTGCCTTGTGCTTCAGGGGACCTGCCTGCTGAGGATTTGCAGGACCTGGGCCTAAAATATTTTATTTCAGGAAGTCAAGCAGTGGTTCCTGTCACCGAAACAGTTAATCAGAAAGCACCAACTCTCTACTGCAACGTGTGTGTGTGTGCACGTGTTTTTGTTTTTCAGAGCCAGCAAGATTTGCTTTGGCTTTTTTAAAGCAGAAAACACCAAAAAAGTTGGCTGTGGTTTCAGCTGCTATCGCTGGAGATTTGTACTGCTGACTAGCAATCCTAAAAGAGTTAACCTGGTAAGTATGACTCAGAAGCAGAGAAGGAGATGCGAGGCTGAGAGCCGGGGAGGAAGCGCAGAAACAGAGGTGAGGAACAGAATAATTGCCAAAAAAAGGTGCAGAGTCCAGGAGTGACGTTCCCTCCGGTCTGCCTGGCCCTGGCACCGCTGGCACGGGCTCCCTGGAAAGCTGCAGTTCCGCTCTTATAACACAAGGAGCAGGCTGGAGAATTTAGAGCTGCGTCACAGAGCTCAGCGAGAGAGTGAGAGAGCAAGCTCCGTCGATAGGTCTACCAGCAACAGCCCTGCTGCAGCAAGAGGGGAGAGAGGCAGCAAGAGAGGCAGAGAGGGCTCCAGGAAGAGAAGTGGCACCAACACCACGGACTGGGCTCCTGCCACCATCCACTGCCATTTGTACCCCGTACTCGGGCTCGCTCGGCGTAGGAGGCTTCGCCCATTGACGATGCCGGAGACCCTGCGCGCTTAATCCCACGGGGAGGGAGAGTGGGCAGAGACGCCGAAAGGGTTAACGGGAAGGAAATTTCTGGAAGCTTCTCTTCTGCGGCGCTCCAGAGCGAGCGGAGGGCTGAGGACTGCGCAGATGGTGCACGGGCACGGCTCCTCGGTCCGGTTCGTCTCCCTCACGTACGTACCCTTTGATCGGGATGGGGCTGGAGCTGCGGCCGCGTATTCCGATTATTTGCAGGGCGTCCCTTTCCCCCGGCGTCCCTAAGTTGGGATCCCAAAGTGCCTTTATGATTATTTTGGCTGGGCAGGATTGCTCTGTTCTGCGTCAGAGCTGTTTTCTCAATGGAGCGACGGCACAGGTTGTACTAATGTCACTCCTGCCGGCATTGCTGTACTGCAGAGGAGGGTAGTAGCCGTGGGAGAGAGATGACAACTTTGCAAAGACTGCTGTTTTCCCCGGTTTGTCTGAGCTTTTTATCCCCCCCCGTGTCCCCGGGGGCTGGCATGCCAGCGAGGGCTCGGTGCAGGGGTTAACGGGCGCCCCGAGATCCGGAGCTCGCAGCTCTGGCACTGCGTAGTTCGCAAAGTGGCAAACGGTGACGCAGTGATCATTGCAGGGCACGTCGTCCAGTTTTTAAAAGCACTGGGGACAGGTAGGACGGGTGCCTTCCAGACGCTTCCACGCCAGCTGAAAGGGGTTAAAGATGAGTCGAGCCGGGAAGCGAGCATTTAGGGATTAAATGTCATCATTTTGGCGTTGGAAAGTTGTTTACCTTGCTCTCTCGGTGTCTCCATGCTGGCAGGCGGCCAGCTCACATGTGATAGTCTTCCCTGGACTGCTGCATCATTAACGAGAGCCAGCGCCGGCTCCCATTGGCCGGGGAGGGCGCAGCGCCGGGGCCGCGCCGCCATTGGGCGCGCCGGGGATGGCA